TAGAATAGAATAGAATAGAATAGAATAGAATAGAATAGAATAGAATACTTTATTGGCCAAGTGTGAGTGGACACACAAGGAATTTGTCTTGGTGTAAATACTCTTAGTATACATAAAGGAAAAGATACATTCGTCAAGAGTCAAGAATCATAAGGTACGACACTTAATGATAGTCACAGGGCACAATAAGCAATCAAATCATACTAGGAAACAGTCAATATAAATTGTAAGGATACAAGTGACAAAGTTACAGTCATACAGTCAAAAGTGGAAGGGGGTGGGTGATAATGAGTGATGAGAAGATTAATAGTAATAGTAATGCAGACTTAGTAAATAGTTGGACAGTGTTGAGGGAATTATTTGTTTAGCAAAGTGATGGCTTTCGGGAAAAAACTGTTCTTGTGTCTAGTTGTTCTGGTGTGCAGTGCTCTATAGTGTCATTTTGAAGGAAAGAGTTGAAAAAAGTTTATGTCCAGGATGTGAGGGGTCTGTAAATATTTTCACAGCCCTCTTTTTGACTAGTGCAGTTTACAGGCCCTCGATTGAAGGCAGGTTGGTAATAATTGTTTTTCCTGCAGTCCTAATTATCCTCTGAAGTCTGTGTCTGTCCTGTTGGGTTGCAGAACCAAACAGACAGTTATAGAGGTGCAGATGACAGACTCAATAATTCCTCTATAGAACTGTATCAGCAGGTCCTTGGGCAGTTTGAGCTTTCTGAGTTGGCGCAGAAAGAACATTCTTTGTTGTGCTTTTTTGATGACGTTTTTGATGTTAGGTGTCCATTTTAGGTCATGTGATATAGTAGAACCTAGAAATTTGAAGGTCTCTACTGTTGATACTGTGTTGTCTAGTATTGTAAGAAGTGGTAGTATGGGAGGGTTTCTTCTAAAGTCTACCACCATTTCTACGGTTTTGAGTGTGTTCAGTTCTAGATTGTTCCGGTTACACCACAAGGCAAGTTGTATAACCTCCTGTTTGTGTGCGGATTTGTCGTTGTCTCAAATGAGACCAATTATTCTTCTCCAGCCCCTATTTATAGTGGGATTTCAGAAATAGGGAATTTCTAGATGACTATTAGAATCTGTTTCTAGACTTTTTCTGTATGAGAATAGAGAAGTTGGTAATTTAAGACTGGGTTAAAACCCTTTAATTTGTTTTGTCTGAGTACTGCTAACTCAGTTAATATCAAGCTCTTTTATCTATGCATGAATATAATAATTTATATTGTGAATAATTTTTATTGAAATTCTCCTTTTTGAAACTCTTAAATCTAAACTGGGGCATCAGCTTTTTCACCAAGCCAGTTTAAGTCTGTATTGTGATCTGTAAAAAATGCATTTATTTTTATATACTCTATATTCAATCCCGTTTTGTTTTTGAGTAAACTTCTAGGAGAGTAATTTTGAAATCTCTATTCTTCTATATTATGGGCTCAGTCCTGCTGCTACAGTGCGGGAGAGCTAAAGTATACATCTTAAACTCCAATACTGTAGCTGCATGCAGCTTCAGTGAGATTATTGTTTCCAAACTGTAATGTTTAATAGAAGCATAAATGAGAAATGATATGACTAGAAAGTGAATGTTATATTCTAAATAGGTTTAAATCAGATTACCTTTTTTTTTTGTCTTGGACCCCTCAACAATATTTTGAAGCACAATTCCCACTATGTCTCCCAAAAGCCCAGTGGGCCTTGTTTGGTGTTTAAAAAAAATAATTCAAAGTGATAGAAGAAGGGAAGGGAAGAATGGGGAAAAAAAGCAATACAAAGTACAAGAAAAAAAAGAAAAGAGATTGAATTTTTTAAAAAAAGAAGCACCTCCCGATTTTCCTTGCAACAAGTACAGACAAATTAATAATTTCCAACCTCCTGTGGCTCACTTCTCATAACAAGGTCTTTCTTGTCCATTTAACATCCAAAACTCATTCTCATTTCTGTCTAGTGTCAGCCAAAAGCCCATAAAAGGTTTCCAGAATTCTACAAAAGTATTTCTTGTTTTATCCCTGGTCAAACAAGTCAACTTTATATTCCTTTTTGGGGAATAGGGATGGAAGGAATGTCTAACAATCTTAATCTTTAATTCATAAAGTTGCTGTTATAAGGTTGAATCCCCATTCAGACTTTATTTCTTGCATCTCAAACATGTATTTAAGGTTTTAAAAAATCTCTTTTGTAAATACAAAATAAATTCTTGCTCAAACTCTTTTGCATCTTTTGATTTGTCATTTGTATTTCCATTCTGTCATCTTTATCTTACCATTCTCAATTTCTTTATTTTCCAATATTACTCTATCAGGTAGAATGTGTTATCTCCTCTTTATCCTGACTATCCATAAATTCTGCCATATTATTATCTGTTGTTGTCATCGTCATCAGCAATTCAGTTGTGTCCAATCCTCAGCCACTCAATGAATAGGCACTTTCCAAGCCCCTCTTTTTACCGCCTCCATCAGATCTGCCATGGTCATCCCAGTGTCTGTCATGCCCTTGTTAGAGTCAGACTCTGAGGGAGAGGAGGAACAGCTGACAGGGAATGGAGCAGGGGCGGGACTCTACCATTTCTGTCCAGCTCTATAGAACCAGTAGCTCTGAAGAGCAGCAGACACAGAACCGGTTCTATGTCTGCTGCTGTTTTGGCCCACCCACCTGCCCGGGCTCTTACCTGACCTTTATTTCCTGCTTTTTCAACCTCAGCTGCTTTGCTCAGTACAGCTGCGGTTGAAAAAGCAGGAAAAAAGTGCTTTTTCAACTGCTGTGCACCCCCGCACAGCGCTGGTCAGTTGTCTAGCCAGCAAGCTGATGACGATTCACATGCGTGCAAATCGTAAATCACTGAACCGGCAGTTACACTGGCCAGATCCCACCCCTGGAATGGAGGTGTGGCTCTGGTGGTTGTGGAGGAGGCTGGGAAAGGGCAGAGGCTGGCTGGGCAGTCAGAGGAAGAACCAGGCCCATCCCCTCTTCATCCTAGGACACACAGGAAGGAAGGGAGAAGGCAACAACTTGGCTTACAAGAGAGGAAGTGGCCATGATCCCCCCTCATTGGTTGCAGGTGGAGAGAATAGTATATAAGAGAGATGATGAAGGCACAGCATTGCCAGAAGCAAAGCATGTGTTATTTTGGGCTGAAGTTATCTTGGTTGGCGTCCTTCCAACAGGCTGTGCCTTGTTATCTCCTTGAAGTTGGCAATTACTTATCCTGGTCCGTTGTGGAATTTCCTTCATTGTAGTTTGTTTTAGGTTTTTATTTCACCTCTATCTGCTCATTAAGTTTGAACAATATTGCTTTCTTTTAAAGACTATTTTTGAATGTGTTTTATCTCCAACTGAGAATTATTGAACAGTGGGGCCAAGTTGGAGGCATTAAAGCACATTTATTTATGTTTTGGAGTTTGTTACGTTTGTGTTACACTCTGGGTCATCACAGTGTCATCCTTCTACAGCAGGTGTCTCCAACCTTGGCAACTTTAAGATTTGTGGACTTTAACTCCCATAATTTGCTGGTTGAGGAATTCTGGGAGTTGAAGTCCACAAGTCTTTAAAGTTGCCAACGTTCGAAACCCTTGCTTTATGGTGTCCTGCCAGTAGGTACCAGGACAGTGTTTTCTCCCTTTTCTGCTGATCGCTCCCAGTATGATTGACTTTTCGAATGAGTCAGGTCTCATGATATCAACAATGTATGACAGTCTCTGTTTGACGATCTTGACTTCAAGGAATATTTTTGTTGAGGTTCAGATTTCTTTGTCCATTATTTTTGCAGTCATGGGTTGTGTAATCAGCACCACAGTTCAAAGGCATCTACCCTTCTCCGTCTGCCTTTTTTCAGAGTCCAAGTTTCGCAACCATAAATAGCAATTGGAAAAATTATTGCATCAACTAATCTGCATTTGGTCATGAGGCTGATTTCTTTACTTTTCCAAAAGTTATTTATGCCAGACATTGCAGTTCTTCCAAGTGCTATATGTCTTCTAATATCAGGGATGCAGACATACCTTTGGTGGATTTTAGAGTCCAGGAAGTTGAATTCCCTTGCTGTTTTCACTTTCATCTTTGACTCTCAGGATTAGCCACTCCAGATCCTCCTTGCTTTGCATGAACAATATTGTATCATCTACATATAGGAGGTTGCTGATATACTACTACTGATTTTAACTCCAGTGATAGATTCCTCCATATATGCATTTCTCATAAATATTTATGTGTGCATGTTGAATAGTTTACGTGTAGGTGACAGGATGCAACTTTGCCAATTGCTTTTTCCAATTCTGAACTATTGTGTGTCCCCATATTCTATTCTAACTCATCCCGTCATTATACTCTAATCAGGCAGCCACTTTTAAGAATAGATTTTTTTAAAAAATGGGCATGAAATTTTATTCATCAGATAGCTTTTTAAACTTGTTTGGAAGATCTCTTTTAGCTGTAAAATAATTGTAAATCCAAGGATGATTAGAAAATGAAGTGGTAAAACCCTGTGACCTTAAAGGCTCTACCATGATTGCGTCCTCATTTCCCAGTGCCTAGATCCACAGGACAACCACTATATTGTGGCTACCTTGTGTGGAGTAACTGTCCAAACCACAAGTGGATAATCTCTCATCTTCTCCTTATCTGGTGGGGTTCCACTGGTCTAAGCTTTTTGCCAGCCTGTCAGTTGTCAACCCTGTGTCTCTGATCTTTTGGAATAGAATAGAATTCTTTATTAGCCATGTGATTGGACACACAAGGAATTTGTCTTGATGCAAATGCTCTCAGTGTGCATAAAAGAAAAGATACATTCATCAAGAGTCAAGAATCATCAGGTACAACACTTAATAATAGTCAAAGAGTACAATAAGCAATCAAATCATACTAGGAAACAGTCAATAAGATTTAGTTCACTATTTTCCTTACCTGGAAGACCAAGTAAGGCTTTTGAACATGAAAAAGTTATGTACTTTTGTATTATAGGCTCCAAAAAGGAGATAAATATAGTGATATGTGAACAGAGGGAGATAAGTTCCTTTGCAAACACTTTCTCACTAAACAAGTGAACAATGACAACATTTTGCTTCTAGCAACAACATTATATATCCAATCAGCACAGCAGCAGGAAAAACACAGAGTAGGCCTTGTTGCTATGGCAACATTTTCCTTCACTACTTATATCAGTTTTAGAATAGTACAATAATTATTACAATAGGGTTGCACTTGGCACTGTGGAGTTGCATTTTGTTGGCTACATAGTGTCATGACATTCTTTCTCTCTCATATGCAACCCATGATCTCCAATTAGTTACAATAATGGTAATACAACCTCTTTTCAAAAGAACTGAATAAGCATAAAGAGCAGTTGATTGCAACAATCACAGAAAATAGACCAGTGTTTAGTGTGTATATATTTGTGCAGACAGAGATTCATCAGCAACAAATAGCGGAATTCAGGACTTCTTCAAACATTCAGAATTTGGTCTGGAGTAGAGAAGAATTCCAGGAGCTGTAGAAGTTTATTTTCTATTTGAGGAGGACTTTTATAAGTCTTATAGCATATTTAATGAAGGTGATGACAAGGCCCTTCCATGCTGCTATCTAGAAAACTACATAGAAGTGTCCATTGAAATCCCCAAGACCAAGTTCAACTTGAAAGGTTTATTTTACTCAATGGTCAATCCATAACAATTGGTTGACAGTTACATCTTTCACTTTGGTTTCCTTTTCAGCCTTGCCTCTCAATTCATACCCTAGTATTCAATTCAAAGACTGCTGGCTCTTCTTCAACACCACTTCCTTTCATAACACTTAGTATTCTCTTCAGAATACTATGCTTAAAACCCCATCCCAAAGCCATTACATGTCATTTTGGGTTGTGTCTTTGTGTGTACTTCTCTCTCCTTCTCTTTCTCTCTCTCTCTCTCTCCCCCTCCCTCCCTCCCTTCCTTTCTCTCCCATGCCTCTTCAATCCTCACTAAGCCTAAGAAAATGTCCACATTAGCACACTCCTCATTCACCAAACTTTCAGAAGCAATTAAAGACAATCCAAGTCTTCACTTCTGCTGACTTGAAACACTAATGAACAAAAATGAACTGTGCTGGAGTTCTGTGGTAAAAGATACCTCGCTTCCACTGCAGACAAAAGATAAGAGAGAAAGTAACTCCTTCTCTCCATCAGCATGATACTTTAAAGACAAGTTCTTCCAGTGCTACAAAGAACTAATTTTCACCTTTGCTTGCTTTGTCTGGGCTGTTGATGTGTGCGTATGTGTAAGTTAGCATTTCTCCTAGGACTTGAAGTCCAGCAATATGTGAGGCAAGGATTATTTTCTGTGCAGAAATTAAGCACAGCCTCCACTATTAACACCACAAACCCCAGCTTAGTGACAGTTTAAAATCCCAGCACAACTAAGTGAGAAATAAATTGTTCATATCGTGGGTCCCAGAAGTCTAGGGTTTCTTTCAAATTTGGGGCAGTATCCTTGTGATAATGTCTTAAGAACATGTATTATATGTTCTTATTCAATTTCCTTCTCCATCCTGTATTATGTCCTTACAACAGTAAAATCCTTAAAGCAAAATGCATTTCTTTGGAAAAGTATCTTGCACATTGATGGTACAATGTAGGGCAGGGGTTTTCAAAGTTTGCAATAACTTGACTCTATAAAATGAATGTATGTGCCTTCCCCATTAATAAAATTAAAGACTACACTAAGGGTAAGAATAAGGAAGGAATAAATATACACTTTACTTTTAATAATTTAAACGTAAACTTATATATACAATTAAAATGGGAGTTTACATGATAAAATAAACATATTAATGGAAATGAGAAAAAAAAAACCACAAGATAATTCGAAACCATAAATTTTTTTTGGAAGAATGCCGTTGCTTCCTTTTTTATTCATCACTAAAATCAGGATTTCATTTTGAAGATTTCATTTTGTGGTTTACAAAATCAAGAGGGGAGTGGGGCAAGGAGAAGGAAACAAAACAGTGTTTAATTGATTAGACTCCGTGGGGTCCTTGGTGTTCTCTGAGCTTGGTGGGTTAATTACAGTTGTTTCATTACCAAACCAGGTAACATTATCTGTGCTTCATCAAACCACCAAGCTCAGAGGACGCCAAGGACTCCAGAGTTCAACCCTGAGTTGTAAGTATTTTCTTCTATTGGTAATTAGAAGCTTTTGGTTGTTCCTAAAATTCTGCAGGTGGCAAAATGATGGTAGACTTATGTAGCTTTTGATGCTCTGCCTGCTACCATACAGTAGGTGCTTTAAGTCAGAACCTATCTTTTCTTTCTCTTCCAGCGTGGCCCTTGTAAATCTCACCTTTCTTCCCATTTGCAATTTCCTCCTCTGTCCTTCTTCCCAGCCCTTCCTCCTCCCCTCAGCAGAATAAGAGATAGAACTTTGTATATATGCTTTGTGAGATAAATACGGTCTTTAGGAAAAAAAAAACAAAGAACACCCAGGTTTCATATTGGGCTATGCAATAGCATACTTTCATGACAAATTAGTAAGTTTGCTTGGAGGATTCAGGAGGAAAGCACTTTCTAGGAATCCTCCATCTATTGTCTCTTAATCCCCCTTAAAAGTCACAAGCCACAAGCTAAGAAATGCACAGGTAATGATAGTAATGATGAATATTCCCAATGCTATAGTTACCTGTTCTGAAGGCTTGGCATTTCCAAAGTTATGAGAAACCAATGATCGCTCCAACTCCCTGATTTTTCCCATATCTGTAGTGCCACACTGCCATTGGTTGCTCCTTCATTTTCTTGTACAATGAATGAAATGGTGCCATTGTAATTGCCAAAAATATATGCTGAGAATTGGACCTAAAGTGAAGATTAAAGTGATGAAACAGAGAAAAACTGTATATGAGGTCCTTTATAAGTACTGTATTTGAGGATTATAACCTTGGTTCACAGACATAAAAGTTTTATATCCAGAGGGGTCTTGTTATGAGCTTCATAAAAATAATATCACACAACTTCCTGAGAATGAATCACATGAAGATGAGAAATATAAAAAGAAATCTTGACTCAAACATTAGAACATTCATTAGTCAGATGCTTCTCTGCCTTTATGATTTTTATCACATATAAACTGAAACCAAACTTTCTGGTTTTGAAAAGGATAGTTTTCTGGTCTTACAAAAGATAAAGCTAGCCAGAAAGGATATCCACTACTGCAGCCATATGGAGGAAGCAATGCATGAGCCGATACTTTTACAGGAAACTGTGCAAAATGCTCTGTTTCCTCTAATGTGGGCAGAAATGAAAAGTTCTTGAAAAAAATGGTATTTATTTGCCAGGCCAATGCATGTAATTTTTGATCCGGAGCGAAGGCAACATTATCACCATCATATATCAGAGAAGAACTTAATGAAAAAAGTGTCAGCATATAATTAATTACAATATAATAACTTAATTAAATGTATATGCCACCCATGTCACTGTCGGGAAAGTTGGGGCATAAAAGATAAAAAAGATAACACGTTTTATGATGGTTTTAACTTCCATGGATTAAAATCTCCTTCATTAGATCAGATGCATGAAACATTACAGCTGATCAATGCAATAATCATTATCAATCACATGGATACAAGAGAGAGAAAAATGCCTGCCTTTCAATATATGTGTATTCATAGTCCTTAACTTACAACCATTTGTTTAATCACCATTCAAAGTTACTACAGCACTGTAAACAAGTGACTTGTGACCACCGTTGCCATTTCCTCAGTCAAGTGATCAAACATTGGGTGCCTGGTAACTGACATGATTTTCTGATGGTTGCAGCATCCCAAGATTCTGGGGTTGTCATCTGCAACCTTCCTAGGGAGCTTCTAACAAGTAAAGTCTTATTATGTGGTGTTTTTTCTAATGTTTTTTCTAACTCCTTAAGTTAGAAAAACTCCTTAAGTTATCTAGTAGTTTAGATTGTTCTCCTGTTATTTCCTTGCATCTAGGTGTATTATATGAAATTGCTAAGCTCCTGACGTATGCTTTAGTCGTGTCCCATAGGTTTGGAATGGATGTTTGCGGTTTTTTATTTTCTTTCAGAAAGAACTCCAATTCTTTTTCCATCATCTTGACACATTCTTTTTCTTTTAGGATCTCCTTATTTAGCATCCATCTTCTGTTCTTTTTCAATCCTTTCCAAATTATTTTAATAGGATTATGGTCACCCCGTGTGTTAGCTTCAATTTCTAATTCTTTTATATTACCCTTTGTCCATAACATATCCAATCTTGATCATGATGTGTGTGGTACTGAATAATAGATATATTGTTTTTTGTCTGGATTGTCTGCTTGAAATGATAGTCGGCCATTCACCCAAAGCCAAGCTGTGCTAAAAGCCCCCAATACACAAAACACAATGTTGCCAACCAATCAAGACAAAAAACCACTACAAAACAGACAGAAGATATTAGAAACACCAATCAAGCAGAACATAGCAAACTCCAAGACCAATAAACACAGACCAAGACTCCCAACCAATCAGGATGAAGAAAAAAACATTCTAACAAAGCACGAGGCTGGGATCAAATTTAAAACAGAAACGGCTACAAAAGCCTGACACACAGACGAACCCAATACACAAGCCTGATGATGGCAGATGAGATTCTGCCGAAACGTCACTACAACTTTAAAAGCACAACTATAATGACATGGGAAAATACCTGAACAAAGCTGAATACCATACATACATACATACATACATACATACATACATACATGATAATTACTTATACAGCTTTTTGGTAAGTCTTTCCATTTGAGAGGAGGATGAAGTAAACAAGGTGATAGAATTGAATAACTGGGCTTGTATAAAGAGAGAATTGGTTAAATTACAGCAATGAGAGTAAGCTCCTATTTCTGGTTCTTTGTATCACTTTCATATGGCAGAAGTAGGCAAAGGCTTAATAAGCTAATCTATGAATATGCCTTTTGTCTGTACTTGTGATCCCTTTGGTTGTTTCTTTCTTCAGAGCAAGAGCAAAGAAATCCAGACATCTCTTATCACAGTTACCCATTTCATCCAAGCTGAGAAACTATGGTAACTAGCTTTAGAACAAATCAGGGTATTATGCACAAATTTAAAGCCGATCTAATATCCTGCTATTTCTACGCTTCTTAATCAGACTTTGCTAATTCAAATGAAAGGGGTCTCTATTTTGTCAGCTCACTCTGGAATAAAGTTCCGGGAGGAAAAATGTCTTTTTCATACCAGAGTTGAATATGCTGTTATTCAATCATCCCACCTTTCCAACTTTGATTATAACACCAAGGTAACCCAAAGCCTGCTTGAAGAGAAGTTTGATTCTAATACCTGCAACTATTTCCTTCTTTTGTATAATAATTCATGATATGATTGTTGGCCACAGAAAAAAAAATTGGGGAGTAGAGGTGTGCAAACTGTTTTACTTTGAAACTTTTCAATTTCAGAGAGGTTGTTCTAAGTAGAGTTTTGTTTCATGGCCCCCATAATCTTGGATCATGATTTGCAGGACAAAACAAGGTTATTTCGAGCATAATCACTTTTGGATGTTCCAGCTGTTCTGACGCTGTGATTAGGCTGTTATTTCATGGCTTGAGTTAGCTTCTTCCAAAACTTTTCCATGGTCATGCCCCAGTTGCTATTGCCTTAGGCTAGATCCGTGAAAGCAAACCTATGGCACGCATGCTGGAAGTGGCATGCAGAGCCATCTCCGCCGGCACATGAGCCGTTGCCCCAAGAGTGGGTTTAGTGTGCAGGCGCCACCCACCCGCCAGCTGATTATTGGGTAGCTGCCGTGCATGTGCGGGGGGGCATGCAGGAGATGCATGCACTTGCGCAGAAAGGGAGGGCTGCAGGCACATGCACAGAAATGCATGGTGTGGGGGGTGTGGGGGGTCCCATGTGCAGAGACATGCGGTGTGCACGCAGGGGTCGTGCACGCATGCGCAGGGGTGTGGGAGCCCCTACATGTATAGCCCTTATGGGTGCTGGTACGCATGCGCAAACTTAGCCATCACTGGGCTAGATGGAATAATGTGGGGTCCAGAGAAGATTTGGGGTGCTAAGCAACAAACATTTGAGGTCACATGTTACAGCAGAGACATTCTGGATCCGAAGAAAGAAAGAAATAAAAGCCAGGACTGCTGTGTCTGGAACAGGTTAACCTGTCTTGCTCTCTCATGTCACTCCTTTTCCTATCTTAGGAGTCATATGTTATCTGCTATGCTGTAATTTAATTTTAAAAGCAGTTGAAAGGAAGGAAAGTGGAGACAAACATCCACATGTGGGTTTTCATCCACTGGAAGAAATGAGTCAGCAGAGGCAAGGACGTAAAACCTATTTTAATGCAGGGATGCTGAATCACCTGCTTAGCTGGAGGCAGAGGGCAAGCCATGCCGCCAACTTGTAACAGTGCACTTGCACTTAAGCAGAGTGAAGTGCCAGTTGGGAAAGTGGCCATCAGTAGGCGAATGCCAAAAAGGCATCAGAACTGATGTGAGGATGTCTTTGGACCTTCAGCTCTTCAGGATGATGTCTGGATTCCAGCATCTCTTCTTAGCAGGTTGCTCCCCGATGACTCTTTCCAGGACTCCCCTGGATACAGATGGTGCATGATTTGGGGTTTCCCTGGACTTGGAGCTCTTGCTTAAGAAACAGATGGCTGGGGAGTTGGGGGCTTTGCACACATTCATTTTATGCACCAACTGCATCCTTTCTTAGACAGGAGCCTTTGGTTTTTTCCTGGTTAGATTGCTATAATGCAGTCTACAGCCCTTGAAAATCATCCAGAACACAGTTCTGGGTACTCCACAGTTTCAGGGCTTGTGCACTGATGGTTGGGGTGGCACCAGGGGTGATAATTCAGCAGGTTCTGACCAGTGCTGGAGAACTGGCAGCGGAAATTTTGAGCAGTTCGGAGAATTGGCAAATACCACCTCTGATTGGAGATTTTGCAGTATCCTTCCCCTGCCATGCCCACCAAGCCACGCCCACAGAACCGCTAGTAAAAAAAAATTGAATCCCACCACTGGATGGCACAGGAGCAATAGAACATCTCCTGCTATATTCTCCTGGATTGTCAAGGCAATCTTACTCTTTAATTTGTGAGGAATCTCAAATTTCACAATTAATTTGATTTTTTTTTAAATCAGAAAATTGAATCCAACGGTCAAATAGAATCATGTGCTTGTTGGTTTTTTTTAATCAACTTGGACCTAGTTTCAAACTGGATTGGAGCTGATTGTATGCAGTTTCTATGGCATGTGCAGTGGTGGTCATTAGGTGTAAAACTGTTACTACAGAACTTTTGCATAGAATCATTTTGATACTCTTGAATCTTGACCAAAATAAATATGAAAAAAGGCACACACACACACACAAATAGCCTGCACATCACTAAAATTACGCACAAAAGTCTGCAAAGTGAAATTTAATTGTTTAAGGAAGAGGTTAAAGTACCTTATAAGATCCATTGGAAAGAATGGCTGGAAGATCAGAGCTGTATATCCGGGCAAAACCATCTGTGTGTTCACTATTGACATGCAGATACAAAAAATGACCTGGGAGAAAAAATGGAACTAGATTTCAGTGGTATTTTGGGACTGAGCGATAGTAGAATTTACAATATATTAGAACAAACATGATGATGTTTCACCAAGGACATTATTTTATGATATTCTGGAAAGTTGAATATTTTACCATATCCTGAAAGCCAACATAAAATAAAAAGAATAAATAAGAGAGAGAACATAGGACAAAATGCAAAAGCAAAAGATAAAAAGAAATAATAAGAAAGAAACGTCTGATTTTTTTGTAGCAAATGACAAGTATTATTACAAAATGATGTCTTAATTTATAGTTACCAAAAAAAGCTCTGTTTTTCTTTTGTCTACTTTTTCTTGATCATCAAAACCATTGTTAATTTTCTGCCTCATGCAAAAAGTCTATAAGAAATTTCCAGTCAGGTATCAATGTAGATGTCTTTTCTCTAATCATAGAGGTGACTTCAGTCATTTTAGCAACCATTCCTTCATCATGGGTAATGCCACACATTTCCTCTTTTCAGCACATAACAATCTTGCTGAAATTGCCATACATAGAAACAAGGTTCCATCACCTTTTTCCCCAGCTGTTTATCCATTAGTCCCAGAATAAAAGCTTCTGGTTTCAATTGTACAATAATCTTTAAAATCTTTTAATACGTGTCTACCAAACATGATAAAACACCCCTTCATGTTGTTCACATGTTCAATGTAAATTTGAAATCCCTTCATATATTTTAAACAATTTCTGTGGTGACATATACTAATGATATATCATTTTATAAACATTCTCTTGAACTACCATTTTTTCATCTCCATATATATTGATCAACCCAAAATTAACCCATCAAATCAGAAAAAATTTAAATATTAAATTGATAGTTTATCCTGAGTAATTTTAATATTTAATATTTTTCTCGAAGTTCTGTCCATTTCCATTCCAATCTCCCTTCAAACACCATGGAGAAATCCATCAATCTCTCCATAAACTGTAGAACATCACTTTATCCTCATTTGAGACATAAATCCCCAACATCATAGTTTTGACCCCAAATAAATTAACTTCTAATCCACAAATCTATCATATTCATCCGCCAATACAAATTCTGGTTTTAGCTGGGAGTAAACATACACAATAACTCCATTCCTCTTTTTAATGTCTGCTGAAATATATTCTTCACTTAAACATTTTTAAGGCAAATATTTTACGCAAAATGGCTCTCTTACAATCTCCCTTTGATCCAGAGAGATTATGCAGTTTGGCATCAACTCTCTAGCAGAAATCTCAGCTGCAGTATTTCTATGCTCCTTTGGCGATATCTGCCCACCATGATTCATCACCGGAAGTTCCATATTTTTCATGTCACATATGATTTTATATATTTCAGTTTCCCTTTACCTAAATTTGCCCTAAAAAGAAACAAACTAAATGCTATACTTTTTCCTTGTTGGGAGTTACTCTGATTCCATGGCCAGGATACTCAAGGGAAGCTTGCAGGTATGTAAAAAAATCATAGTCTTGTTAAAAAGCATAAGGAGAAGAGGACAAAGCTATCCATTTCTATGGGTCTCCTGGTGGGACTTGAAATGCACAGATCCCTTCCTCAATAAAGCATGTAGACAGATGTAGGCTGCACTTTCGCTGTCAAGGGGTTCGCTGGTCGTGAGTGTGCACATGCCACTTTGGGGCTGAAATGTAGTTTCAAACAGGCAGCTAACTGACTCTGGCAGCTCTGGTGAGTATAGCAGGGCGGTGAGGAACTCACCTGAGCAGCCTGGGCAGGGAAACGTTAGTTATTTAGGGAAAGCATAGCACAAGGGCAGGTGGGCAGGCCCAGCCAGAGATCACATTTAGGGGTTCGCTCGAACTTCGCCGACCATCCAGCAGCCCACCATTGCATGTAGAGAGTGGGATCCTTATTAGAACAAGAGAAGAATTGTAGAGGTCCATCTCCCTTTTTTCCTTCAAAAGAGTTATTCGAGAGTAGCTCTTAACAAAGATGAGGGAATTCTCCCCAGTAAGGGTGGAAAATTCATCAGGGAGTGGGGAGCATTCTCACTTTCTCTCTATCACTACCATTTCACCCTCCCTACAGACTTCTAATGTGTTTCAAAATAAGTTTTTCATATGGATCTTCACCTTCTAGTCCATGGCTAAGAATTCAGCTTTAATATCAGTTGCTTACAGAATGTAGATAATTTCAGTTTCAAAACAGATTTTATAGATCGCCTGATAGTATTCTCCTGAAACACACAATATGTTTCTCCTTAGGCCATTTTCTGATTTCATGCATAATGAGACTGTGTATGTTTTCCTTCACCGCTGCAAACTCTCTCAAGGCAGCACTATGAATGTTCCTCTACAACAGATGTCACTTAGAATCATACAAGTTGTTCAACGTCTCAATAAATAAAAGAATCCCAAGTGGAGATGCTCTTCCAGCTAAAATAGAAGGTGAAGAATAAGGAATATACCTCCAGTGGCTTGGAAGGCAGATCCTCCAATCTGGTTTTCATGCATCCTTGAAAAATCACTAATAGACCAGGAAGAATTTATATTTCCATCTATTGTCCAACCACAGGCACCTTCCTCAAAAGAACAATGTGCCCCTTCTGTTAGGCTATCTGGAAAAAAGCAGTAATTTTTATAAGAAGCAAACAAACAAAAAGATCAGCAGAGTATTCTCTCTCTCTCTCTCTCTCTCTCTCCCAGGGCTCAAGCCATGTGGTCCTGTCAACCATTAAACCATCTTTCCAAATAGCCTGCATCTTTCCAGTGTCTTTCTCCCCACTTGGAACTGAACCCAGATGGACTTTTCTTCCAACAGAGGTTGGTTTTCTCCTGGATTATTTCTATCCATCACTTCTTGTCCTGCCCTCAGCACCTGACAGGCTGAAGGAACAATCAATATTTTTTGTTTCTTCCTTGCTGAAGGTTTTGCAGGTTTAATAAAGAACAAAAGATTGGGCTTAATATTTTCTTTCTTACAATAGTTGACAAGTAAGAAGTCCCTTAAAGAAAGAGACGGGCAGGTTCATATTTACCACAGAGGGATTCATCTTCTTTGTTTGGACAATCAGAATTGAAACTGCAAACTGCTAGGTGGCTGACACAGCCCTCTTGTGGGCAGGGCATAGGAGATCCTTTATTAAGGTTGAAAAGATCTTTATCTGAAGGGAAAACAAACAAACAAAAATATCAAATACCCAAATCAGTCTTCTCTGACTTGACTTTTAAAATCTAACATAGTTGTCGCCTGGATTCTGTGATTATGATCTTTCTAGAATGAGTATCAGTTGGAAGAAGTCTGATAATGCTTTTTTAAAAATCATCCTCAGGGTCTGCTCCAATTGTGCAATGGATTGAAACCCAAACTGAATCGCCTTCAGGCCAAGCTCATCTGAAGCTGTAAGTAGTAAAGAGAATGGGCCAATTTTTCAGGTTTAAGGGAAAATCCTTCCATGTTTCCAAACCTATATGAAGCTTTAGCACACTTCATTTAATTTCCCATTGGAAACTGGTGGGAATATTCAGGAGTTTGGGCTGTGTAATGCTGGGAGAGCTTCATAACATCTGAAAATAGGGGCTAAGGGACCACATGTGGCTTAAAAGCCACAATTTGCTTACTCTGGTTAAGATATAAAACAGTAAATTTTAAATCGATAATAAAAGTTATTTTAAACTTATTTACTTCACAGCTTGTTACTGAATCTTAGGCCAGAAACAGTCAGTGGGATGCTTATCTTATCCAACAATCACATTTTTTTTCAAATATGATTTCCTACATACCATGAAGGCAATTTTGAAGTTGCAATGATCCCAGTGCCAAAAACCCAGAATTCTTCTCATCACAACTTGAATAGATCAAAGTGATCTCAAAAGGTCTTTCCATTTGTCCAATTGAGCCTATTAGAATTTTCCATTTCACCCTGAAAATCAAAGCAGTTGACAAGATTAATAAATGTATCTATAAAAAGCAGAAATGTATCCAAAGGATTTCATATGCCTTATCTCAAGTTATATTTTTACAACTGTGTAGCTTTGGTCAATTATGACAATTATTTACATGTTAGTAATAATATTTTTCTGTGATCTGAACCTGAGGTGCCCTCTTATACTGCTTATAAACTATTATGCCATTAAACAATATTGTCAGCTAGTGCATGAGAATCACTACTTTTAAGAATTTTGCTTGACTAGTTATAATAGCACATATTGTGATACTCTACCAAATAAAGTAAGCATTAATTAAAACTGGTTTTCATTCATTTGCTTTTAATTTGTTTTTGATTTATTTTTAGTAGTGAAAACAGAGAACTACAGGAGCAACAGGCAAAAAAATAGATGAATAGTGGTACAATGAAGAAAATCTAGATATAGTATAGTGATTAAAATAAGTAAATGTGACAGACAAATGGATGGAAAGGGAAGGAAAGGAAGGAAGGAAGAGGGAGAAAGGAGCCAAGGAAGGGGGGGGGTGAGAAGGAAATATATAGAAAAAATGAATTCATATAACTATGAATGATTATGTAATTAAATTTTGAAGCTTAAGATTGAACATAGACCATACTGAAACAGATTGCTTCATCTTCTAATTTTTAGAACACAGTCTTTTCAAAGATAGTTAACATATTCCTATCCTAGATCCATTCCTTAAAATCACAAGAATAAGTTACTTTGCATTTATTAAAATTATTTCATCTTGCCTGTGGCTCAATCAAGCCAAAGCTTTTCATGAGGAGACTAATTCCATATTCTTGGAATATAGTTCAACATCAAAATTTCCTCCTTGAAATCTACAGTGTGAACAATATTTTTCTATGAATACAATATTTATGAAGATCAATAATGCAGATATAAGTGATGACTGAGGAAATGACAAATAAAAAAAGAAACAAGACAGTGCCCCAATCATCTGAAGAAATGTTCCCCATCTGGTGCCCTCCAAATGTGTTGGATATAACTTTCAGAATTCCTGATTGGCGTAGATAGTTGAGCTAGGAATTCCAGGATGTTTCTTGACTAGTGAATTATAGCCACATTCCAATGTCATCGAATGAGGCCAGTTATCGCCTTCTAATACAGAGTAGTTTTATGGCAGTGATTGATAGCTTTTCTACCAGCCTTTCTCCTACCAGCATCCCTCCACATCCCTTACAGTAAGAAGTGAACTCAACAGTCTAGCAATCATCAGCATCAAACAACTACGTTGTACTCACTGTAGAGTACTGTAGTCTCCTAGCTAATGTAACATCACTGTATGCTAAATAAAATAAATAAAACCAGTAAGAAAACCAGCCACCAACTAATGTGACAAGCAGGTGCTCCTGCTTCATCTCCCATCTCTTCCAAATTCCAACCAGCTGGAATATCTGGATTGTATGTTTGGGGGATGGGGAGATATATATCCCTATATCAAACGTACAATATATGTGCATGTGTGTGTATGAATGGAAGGATTATATTTCTTTGCAGTAATTTGGTTGTTAACATTCTTTCTAAGACCTGTTGAGGCCATTTGGAGGTTAATACATGCAATAGCTCTCAAAGAGAGTGCTAACAACCAGATGACTGCAAAGAAATATAATCCTTCCATCCCTCTCCCATATCCTGTCAGAATGTATTTTTCTAGCTCCCCACCAACCTATCACAACAGATTAAGCTTCTTGGATGAGAAGCAAAACATTGTCTTCTTTCTCAAGGAAAAAAAACAGTCCAGTGGCCTTTTGGAAAAACACATTTGAGACAATTATGACCTGGATGACTGAGAAACTCCACAGACATTTGAACACTAGAGGAAATCAGAAGGAATTAAAAATGACTATTAAAGAAGAACATTGACATTTGACTTTCTAATATAGAATGGAGCAAAACATCTTAACACTGAATATATTGAAGGATATTTATGAACAATGGAGCCAGGAGTTAAGAATTTTAAGAATATATGTCTCTGTAGATGGATTGTGTTTAAAAGATATTATAGAAGAGGAATACATTTTACAAGCAAGAGTGAGAGTGATTTGAAAGTGGGTTTGAAAATGGCAAGTTAAAAGATTGATGGGGGGGGGGGGAATGCTACATTAGAAAAGGAATGAAATGATGTTTTCATAATCAAGAGTGACCTAGATAACTTTCCTATATTGGATTTACAAAAGATATTTTTATAATGGAGTCTCTGAGGCTTCCTTAAACTTGGTTATTTGCTTGCAGATCTTTCATTACCCAACTAGGTAACATCATTAATGCCAGTGAGTGTGGCATTTTCTCCCCATTTATAGGCATTAATGTTGAAAGAATAGACATTCTTCAGTGGACTTTTGCCTATATAAGACATATGAATGGAAGAAATTTGCCTAATCTCCACAGCATTCATTGCTTACAACAAAACACTTATAGATTTGAGGCATAAAGCCAAGCAAACAAGTCTGCCACAGTTTTTCAAGCCAGTTTGGGAGAGGAAATTGCCAACACCATCAACAGATCGTGAAAGCCAAAGTTGTGAAGTAGAACTGCCTGATGTTGATATGTCATCCTTGTTTGTTTGTTTTTTGTAAATTTTATTGGTTTTTAAAGACAAACAAAAACAAACAAAACATAAAAACATCCAACTTTCTTCTATAAATGTAGAAACAGTGTGTCGGTTGGTTTACAAATTTTTTGTGCATCCATTTCATAGTCTCAATTACAGTTACATTGCATAATAACTCATATTATCAATCAAAAATTGAATACCCTAGTATCATTATTAATCAATCATTTGACTATAATTTTGTTCATTCATACTTTGCGAGATAACTATAATTTACTTAGTTTATTTTATAACAATTCATATAATCCTCCCAAATCTATCCTAGAGACATTTTATAGATATAATAATAAAAAAAGAAAAGAAATACATCTTTATATATTCATTATTTTCTAAAATTCTACATATTTTAATATCTAACCATTGATAGAAAAGGTCCCAAATTTTTTAAAATTGTTTATCCTCTTGTTCTCTAATTTCAAATGTCAATCTACTGATTTCAGCACATTCCAATATTTTCTTAATGGTTTCCTCCTGTGATGGTATTTTCTCATTATTACCAATTTTTAGAAAATACAATCCGAGCCGCTGTTAATACATTTACAATCAAATATTTTAAATCTTTACTGTATGTATCAGGTAAAATTCCCAATAAAAATATCTCTGGTTTCAAATCTATGTTTTTTTGTCATTTTTTCCAACCACATGTGGATTTTAGTCCAGTATTTTCTAGCATCCGCACAAGTCCACCACATATGGTAATATGAGTCAGGTATCTGATGACTGATATGTCATCCTTGTTGATGCCTTCTAAAAATGGGTTTCACCAACCTCTCCCTTGATTTTTGTGGGGCAAGTTAAGGTCAAGAAGTGTCTTTAAAGACAAATACACATAAAACTAGATTATGTATTGATCAGTTGAGGAAATTGTGACCAGAGGCTTTCAGAATCCTATATGTGTATCTCCCCTAGGAGCAATTCTTCAGTATTTGCTTAATTCACTAATCGCAACAACTTCAAATAACACACCTACCACAAATAACAATATATATATTCGTTAACGAATGGCCTATTTTTGATGTTTTCCCATTTTTGCCCTTAACACAACTTACTTAACTACATTAGATCTTTCCATTCTTAAACAATAGTACTTATGTATGTTTCCTGTATGTTGTTCAGCCCTCCAGCTCTAAATCATCATTATGTCACTCGCACTGCAGGGTACCAGAGTGAACAAAAGCCACTAACTCTGAGTATTCCAGATTATTGTGTGTATTATAGTAGAGTACCTAAATTGTTTTCAAACCAGTACAGTACACATGATATATAATCACAAATTTTAAAATATGTACTTACATTTAAGAGCAATATAAGCAAAAGAAGAAACACCATACATTATAAATAGCATCAAAAGCCCAACAAGGTAGTAATCAATTTTAAAAACTATTTAAAAACAAGCCTACATCTAATAAGCACTTAAAAAAGCCGCATTTGCTTTTCTAAACTTATCAGGACTTTCAGAATGAAATTGAAAAGTTGCTTTGAATTTCAATAAGATTCTTATGGAGGCTCTCAGAGAACTCTGGAGCCATTCACTTTTATAGTAGATTTTGGCAGATCCCAAACTGGAAGGTATGAAAGAAGCAGTTCCTTTCCAGAGGTATCAGTAAGCACCCTTTTCTGCCTGAGCCAAGAAAGAGGCGTTTTGACTTTGAGCCAATTTAATTTACTTAATGGAATTCAGAACGAAGCCTAGGGTGAAGACAGTGGAAGATGGATTGTTGCAGCAGTAATTCAGATAAACTCAGCATGGCAATACTTTTACCGCTGATTTTATGTCAAAAGGATGCATCTTGTTAAATTAACAATGCTCCATGCTCAAACATAAAGTGGAGGTCAACAATCTCTGGTAATGATGGATAGATGGATGGAAGGAAGGAAGGATGGAATAGTTTGCACTGATCAGGTAAGGTAACCTGTGGTTTCCAAGTTAAAAAGAATGATAATGTACCCATTATGTCTGACCTCTACATGGCTACCAAGTCAAATATCAAATATCCCTCAATCAGTCACTTGGGAGGAAAAAGACTGAAATTTAAACACTAAAGCAAGGCTTATAAAAACAATTCTTTACAGTACAGATGGATGATGGTCTGTTTGCTTCATTCTTGCCTGCGATAAAGAATCTTATCCATCTGAGTTGTGTCTGAGACTTTTCTGCTGAGAAAGCCTCTTCCTGAGGAAGACATGAAGGGTCTGAAACAAAATATTTATCGTTGAGCTCTACAGGAGAGGTCTCTTTACATAAACCTGCATCTATATCATTTTTAAGGGAAAAACCGGTACATTTTGTGAGGCATCATGACAATGCAAAAGATGGTGCAAAAAAAAAAGAAAGATTGATTTTCACTCACCCCTTTGATCATGTTTGTAACTTCAAAAAAAAATTAATGAGTATTGCCAACAGAGGAGAATAATTGTAGCTCAGGGTTGAACTGTGGAGCCCTTGGTGCTCTCTGAGCTTGGTTGTTTTCTTGCAAATCCAACTAGGAAACACCTTCAGTGCTGGAAATGAATAGGGGTTTCTCTGTGCCTTTAGTAGTGAAGCACTTGGTTAGTGTGGATGGCTTTACAATAGATGTGTTGCTAACTTGCTGCTATTTCCTCTGCTGATGAGGATATCCAAGAATGGTAGTGTGTTGCTGTTTTCTTCTGCTCAAGTGAACTTTATTCTTTCAAAGATTTTGTTGATTGTTTCATTCTTTTTTCTAGGTCAGTCTCTTGGTTTGTTATTTGTATACCTCTTTGAGGATAGTTCAGAAATGTGAAAAATAAATACAGCCTATGTCCTTTTCAATTATTAACAAGTCAGCTGGTGTCTTTCATATGTCCAATGTACCATCTTTTTCTATATTACTCTTGTAGTTGGTAATTATTAAAGTCACTTTCAGATCAATCTCAATCTTTTCCAATAAAACTCATTCCTCTTCTATAACATTTTTAAAACAGTCAATCTATAGAACAGCTTCAGTTTAACTTCTGGATCCATTGTATTCAAAAATACAATTTTGTTGTGGCTCTGGGCTTGGATTCAGCTCCTGTGATTGATATGAGTTCAAGTGAAGAGGTTACGTCAGAACAATTTGAACCAGCCTGGCTTACTGATTGGACTGATAACCAGGATGAGGAGATGAACGTGACAAAGGACTACAGACCTGATGTATTAGAATTGTCAGGACCTTTGATCTCCTCTGGTTCTTTATCTGATCAACAGCCGGGAATGGCTGACAGGGAAGTTTTGAGAGACTCTTCTAGTGGAGATGAGAACTTGGAAAATTTGTGGTTAAATGTAAAAAATAGAAGACGGTTGAAAAGGCAAAATCAGCTGGAGCAAATGAGAAGAGCAAGTCAGTAAATTAGCACGTTGCCTTAATGAGTATAAAAGGACACAGCTGGGCTGGTGCATTTTCTCCAGGAACAAAATGACTATTTGAGTGAGGATGTTACAGCAAAGAGCTCTGAGGTTGAGGATTTATTGCCAGGACTGGTTTGCCGGACAGAGTAAGATTTATGCTGTGGTTTCTGCCAGCCGTTATCTAATAAGACTTCTTTCCGTTTGATTTAATTGTGAAACGGCTGCTTTCTGTTTTGTTCGTTTGAATTTCGAAGGGGAGTCATAACACAATTTAGTATATTCAATGTTAAAACCTTTTGTTCCATTCTATATTAGTAAGTCAAATTTAAGTGTTCTTCTCCTTTAATTGTAATCTTTAGTTCCTTCTAATTCCCTTTAGTGTGTAACCTTCAAAGTTTCACCCTATCATGATTTTTTATGGGAGAGATTCTAATAATTAAATGAAATGAAATAAAAATATAATTTTATTTCAGATCCATCTGGATCCTTAGACTCTGTAACTTTCCAAAATCAAAGTTCCAATCCCCCCTTTGCTCTTATTCTCCTCAAAAAATATCTAGCCCCAATTGTCCAGAGCACTTGTGGGTGATCTCAAGACCTCTCCTTGCTTTGAGAGTAATTATGAACAGTCTATTCACCAGTGTATTCCACCACAATTATTGGCTTTGCCTAGCATAACCATCCATGACTTGCCATGAGAGTGTCTTTAGCAATTTACCCTTTGGGGGAATACAGCCCTTAAAAAAAAGAAAAACAATTTCCAACAATTTCCAGGATTAGTAAATTTTTCTCCTAATAAAATAGTTTCCCACACGTGTTTAAGAGAATTACTAGAACTGCCTCAAGGGTGCAACACAGTGAATTATACCAGAACCAAATTATTTTGATGCTTGTGTGACTCTATAGTCACACAGCTTAGAGCATAGATCAAAGAAAATTCTGGACTTCCGGTTTGAGTTTCCTCAGTGACAGACCGAAACCTCGTCTCTGTGAGGCTTCGATCCGTGCTCGCCGCTGGAGCGGCCCGAGCCAGCTGGTTTCGGGGATAAGCCACCCCGTAGAGTTGGTGAAGAGGGGGGAGACTGCCAGCAGGGTTGAGGAGAGCCACATCTCTCCTCCCCAGCTGGCCATTACTCCCTTTCCCAAAGGTGGTTGCAGTGGTGGTCAGAAATGGCTACCACAAAGAATAACTCGACCGGAAAAGAATGTGCAGGAGGAAGATAAGAAGAGAAAGTTTTGGTTGACCGGTCAAACAGCAAAAGCAGCAAATAAGGTAGCCTGGAATTGAAATTGTTAAAAAACAATAACATTGTTCCCTAAGAAGATTTTTAAGCTGTGAAGGAGAGAGAAAAGAGAAAAGATTTGGTTTTCTCCTTTTCCTATACTGACAGCTAAGAGACTTATGCAAGAAATTGGAAAAAAATCCACTTTGACATCAATAGGCATTTAATGCTGAAAATAAAAAGTCAAAGGGATAATAAAGATTTCTGGATAATTAAAAGCTTTTGAAAACAGGAAAGGACAGAAAAAGAATAAAAGGGTAGGATCTGGAAGGGAGGAGACTGCCTGCAATTAAAAAAGAACTTACAGCAAAATCTCAACAAGACTTCCAAAAGATACATTCTAACTGAAATATCACAACAAAAACCCCAGGAAGAGAAAGTCGAAAAAGAAATAAGAAGATATAACATGGGACTATCTGGATTACTTGATGATTTCTGGATTCTTGGTTATTGTTTTGAATGACTAAAATCAATCGGATGGTTGTTTAAAACTGTTTAAAATGGCTCCACTTTTAGAAGAACTGAAAATGGAACTTAAAAAGTACAAAGAAGATGCACAAGAAGGGAGAGGTTCTTTTGGCTTCATATTTCAGTTTTTAGAAATGGAGATTTGGAATTATGAGAAACAACAAGAAATGCTTGTAGAACAAGAAGATTGCGACAAAGAAGAAGCCATCTTTAATGAACAAGTAATCTTAGATGGGGGGGGAGGAAAGGGGGAAAAGAGAATGGAAAGTTTAAGATTGGGAAAAACAACTCCCCCCCAAAAAATAGAGTGAAAAATAAGTATAAAATCAGAAAGCAACAGAAGAGGGAAATGCAGAAGAGAGAATTAGAACTAGAGAGACAAGGGGGTAAAAAGGGGAGGGAGAAGATGAGACGGAAGAAAGAAGGGAAAAGAAGTTATAAAGGACAGAAGCAAAATATAGAGAAACAGGGTCTATTTAGAGATAATGGGTGAAAACTTAATGGAAAAAGGGATTCTGCAAAGGTACATAAGATAGTATTGTTATGTTAGAAACAGAAATAATTTTAGAAAATATGAAACAACATATGATTAAAATGTCTGATAAAATAACTATCGTAATTCAGTGTAATGCTTGTCAATAAATAAATGTAACAAAAGGTATATTTAATGATTTATAAAACATGTGAAGAGAAATAAAGGAAAAATTAATTATGGAGATTATATGTGTTTTTAAGGAAGTATGATATTTAATTGAAAAGAAGTGTTAAAGATGTTAAGATTTTAATGATTATTAATGATAGAACTGAACTGGAGTGGAATGAGGGTTTATAATTACATATATTTACAATCTTTCTTTTTTTAAAAAAAGAATATAGTGTGTATTATAAGAATGTACCAAGCAGAATTCGATTGGAAGTTATGTATTATGTATTATATTAAAGGTCATAAACTTAAGGTATATATTGAAGTTTAAATAAGAGTTGAATGGATGTAATTAAAAGATATGCAGGTGTCATACTCCAATTAATAACTACAGGAAAAAAAATGTTTAATGAGAAAAGATAATATGAAATTGAAACAGAACAGACAAAAATATAAATATAATGATTTAAATTGAGGTGAGATAATCAAAATAAAATTGAGAAAATTAAAAGAGGGGAAAAACTATATAGAAAATGTAAAATAGTATAAGATATGGAATAGAATACAAAAAGAAGCATGAAATTGAGTTTTGTGTCTGTATAAAGAAGTTCAACCCGGGACCATGCTATTTTCAAAAAAGATGTTTTACTTGTATTTTGTATGTGTGAAAACCCAAATAAAACTTTATTTTAAAAAAATTCTAAATAGCTAGGTGTTATTTCAACACTACTAACATTTCAGAAAAAAAATAAAGGCGAAAATTTGTAACTCAGGGTAGAACTGAAGGGTCCTTGGTGCTCTCTGAGCTTGGTTGTTTTCTTGCAGATGTTTCATTACCCAAACTAGGTAACATCATCAGTGCTAGTAAGGACTGGAGTTTGATTGCCCTGTCGGTATTGCTGAGCTGGTCATACTGGTTTTTTTGATTGGGCTGTTTACTGTTAGCTTGTTTGGCAGCTCCTTGATTGGGGTATTGTTTATTGGATTGTTGGTCTGAAGTTAATCTTGGAGTTAATCGATGTTTATCTGGCTTCTGATTGCTGGTGGGGAGGCATTTGGGTCTTTTTGTTCCCTTTTTGACTAGCTGATTGTTTCTTTTGCATACTATGTAGATATTGTTTATGTCTATGTGCCTATTGATGACTAATTTGTCAGAGGGCCAAACTTCTAGAAATTCCCTAGCATTTTTGCTAGGGAAAATTAATCCTTTTCAAGAGAAAACCAAGTCTTTCACTAAATTCCTCAGCGAAGGATTTGGACGTTTAGCAAAAGGACAAGAGTCATTAGGTTTGGAGTTGCAAACTCAAGTGTTTGTCATAAATTTGGGAATATTTCTTAATTTTGGTTCATCCTAAATTTGGGGCCCCCTATTCAGAGATTTTTTTTTCAAAAAAACCCTAATACTCTCAGTCTAGTTCTTAACACTAGATGTTAGAATAAATGGCTTTCATGATAAACAACCTGCTGTGTCTCATCAGTTTTCCTCAAATTATTTGTGGCTCAGAGTGCAGGTTTGCTGGTTAGTGTTTAATGTGCATCTTCCAAGTATCTGATCAAGAACAAAACTCACCAGGCATCCTCCTCATGTCCTTCTCGCAGATGAACCGCTTTACTTTGGTTTGTGTCCACATAGTGCACTTCAGCAGAGAGTCCTGCAAGACTGAAGCCCTGGGAATATACTGCTAGCTCCAACAGACATGAACTGGAGCTCCAGGGCAGGACTGGACTGTGGAGGCTGAATGTGCATCTATCTGAGATCCTGCTAGGGTTGAGGAGAAGGATATCCCCTACAGGGAAAGAAAAGGTTGGGGACAAAATACATTAAGAGCAAAGAAAAATAATAAGAGAAATCAGAAACATATAGAGAAATAGTGAAACATTGAGAAAATAGCTTCAATAAGAATATGAATTAAGTTATTGAAGAGAAGAATAAAGAAGCTGGAAACAAATGATAAAAATAGAATTTAAATCATACATAGACATAACTAAGAGATAATTTTGTAATTGTACTTATACAGTATATGCTGCAAAGGAAATCAGAAGCATCTTTCTTTTTTTAAGTCTTCTGGCCAAATGTTAGAAAGTTTCCAGGTTTTGTGTATGAGTGTGTTGGGGGGGGGGGGGGGGGGGCAGAGAGGCAAAAATCCAAAGCTACTTAGTTTCAGGATTAAGCCTGAGTCTGTTCCTCCCCAATTCAGACCTGCGCGGCTTCCGGCCATGTAGCATCCCTTGGCTGTCCAAAATATAAAGCTGGTTATCATTCTTGTATTGGTTATATTGGACCCAAATCAACAAATGGCCTCCTTTAATGGTTTAGTGAAGAATCCTAAAAAGATATCTTCAAAAGCCTGGAGGTATTTGTTTTGTCACACCGAATTTAAGAGAATATAGAATAAAATCATTCCCAATCTCATTTCAGAAACACAGCAACATTAATTTTCCCTTTCCCTTTGGATTTTCTGCACAGGAGATGGATAAATAACTGTTCTCTGGGAAGCAGCCTCCTATAGCTTCTGACTGCAGGAAAACACACCATGAGAGTGGTATTTTTTTCAGTTCTCAATCCTCTGCAGGGAAACAAAGGAGATTACTTTACACTGAGATCATTAATCTATTTACTTTTTTAATATAAATGTTTATTAAAAGTTTTACAAAGCATGTAAAAATTAATGCAACCTAACATAGAAGCAAACAAGAAATAAACAGTGCAGAAGACTTAAAAACAGAAAGATACTTCTGATTTCCTTTGCAGCATATACTGTATAAGTACAATTACAAAATTATCTCTTAGTTAGTCTATGTTTACAAAAAAGCTTACTTTTTCTATTTTCCAGGGTTTTTTTAATAATGAAAATCATAAATCATAGCTATGTTTTTTCTATTTCATGGAAAAATCATATAAGGGGCTTACATTATAAATGCTGAGGTTAGATCATTAGTACATCCAGTACAACCATAAACTAATCTATCGTTTATTAATCAGATGTAATTGACTTGCAATGATAGAGCCTGGTGGACATCAAGTGGAGGAGAATAGTGGTTCTACAGGTTTTCAGGTCAAGGAAGAGTAGTCTAGTTTGATTGACAGCAGCTTCCTAGCAGTTCCCTTTCAAATAGCAGTACTTCCAGCCATGGCTGGTGCACGATAATATTTAATGCACATGCTCTGCCACTGAGCTGTGGCATATTCCTGTGAAGGATTAGGAGCAAGCAGAAATAATAGCTGATATACCAAGTTAACATTTCAAATGCTTCAATATGTGTGGGGCATATAATTTGTTTCAGGAGAAAGGAAAGTAACCAGAATGTTATGGGAATTTGACTTAACAGAACAACAGAGTTGGAATGGACCTTGGAGGTCTTCTAGTCCAGCCCACTGCTCCAGCAGGAGACCTATACCATTCCAGAAAAGTGGCTGTCCAGTGTTTTTTTAAAGCCTCTTGCTTTCTGGTGCTTTGGAGAATAAATTAACACCCTCTTCTTTGTGGCAGCCTCTTAGATATTGGAACACTGCTATTATGTCACCCCTAGTCTTTCTTTTCATTAGACTAAGCATATTTCACTCCTGCAACTATTCTTCATATGTTTTAGCCTCCAGCCCCCCTAATCATCTTTGTTGCTCTTTTCTGCACTTTCCAAAGTCTTTGATATCTTTTTTTATAATGTAATGACCCAAACTGGATGCAATAGTCTATGTTATTTAACTTAGTTGGCTGTTAACTTAACAGTTAACTGTTAAATTACTTAACTGATACCAGTTAATAGAAGGGAACATAAATACGCTGCAATGTGCCACTGCCTTTAACATATAAATTGGCTCTTAGTTTCAGCATTTTCTGTTTTTTTAAAAAAAATTTCATGAGAGAAAATGTGTTGGATTCCGGAAAAGAAAAAGAGAGAGAGACACACAATTTTCTGCAGCTAGGGCTCTCTATAACATATATATGGTAGTATTTGTCTGTATTAATTTGAATGATTGTTATAGATAAGCAATATTTAACATGTGATGGAGTGCAGGGAATAGAGAAGGTTCATTTGACAAATATTGTATATATTAATTCTAATATTTGTTTTCTTAAGTTTTTGCAAGTATTTATATGCATGGTATTCAGCTTTGTTCGGGTATTTTCCCACGTCATTATAGTTGTGTTTTTAAAGTTGTAGCAATGTTTCGGCAGAATCTCATCTGCCATCATCAGGCTTCTGTATTGTGAGTCAGACTTTCACAGCCGTTTCTGTTTTAAATTTGGTGCTAGCCTACTGTTGTGCCAGAATGGTTTTTTCTTCATCCTGATTGGTTGGGAGTCTTGGTCTGTGTTTATTGGTCTTGCAGTTTGCTGTGTTCTGCTTGGAGTTTGCTGTGTTCTAATTCTAATATCTATCTATCTATCTATCTATCTATCTATCTATCTATCTATCTAT